TTCACTTCCATTAACTTTTTCAATTTTTTTGAGTCTAAATGATTGCGACCTGTTTGTAAAAATGCACAGTCTTTATTTTGACTATTTTTTCCAACCACCTTTATTATCTACAGTCAAGCACTGTAATGCACTTGAGCACTAAACTAAATGAAACTCGTTCTGGTTGGTTATTCATCCTTCTGAGGAGGTTTATCATCTATATAATTTCTGATTTCTTACTTGGTCAGCATGATTTCTTAGGTCAGGCAACTACTGCTTGTCAGTATACTGCCACGGTAATCTAAAAGCACCTCGATTCCTTCCAAGAGCCTCAAAATGAGTTAGAAATTAAAAGATTAAAGGCCGTTTATTATGCATTTTTGTTGTGCAGCTACTACAGCGAGCAAAAGCTAATATTGTCGAGAGGTCGTGTGTATGTGTGTTTTCGGAAGCGAATGAACTTTGTCACCCACTTTCATCCCAGCAACCAGGAAAGTTGGGAGGTTGAAATTTTGGGCATATTTTCCTACACCGTTTGTAATCTTCCCGTTTTAAAATTTTTTGTGGACGGTAATGTTCTGTCCCGTGATAGTCTTATTCTAACACTGTTTTGAGTTTACAGCCGGAATAATAGCAGTCAATCTTTTATGCCTCGTTCTTTCTCTTCATAAAGGTTATCCTCAACAGAACACGATATACTATAGAAAATTTGGCTGTTTGCAGATATTCAGAAAAAAACCACCGAATATTGACAGTATCCCATGTCCACCAAAACCGAGTCATCAGCAAGAAGCCCTGGGTGAAAGCTCATCTTCCTTTGCTGGTGTTGCTTCGTGTGGTTTCTCAAATCAGCAGTCGTCCACTGCGCGAGAGGAAAAAAGGTAATTTATTTTTGTTATTCGTTTTTGTGGTGTAGTAGTCAGCAAAACACTTGTTACACCGACTCACGCCATGTATGTTTTCGTCTCTCTGGGTACTTTGACTTGACATTCACGCAGGCCTGGATGGATAAACATTATAGTTTGTTCTCAGGTCAGGTTAGCGACTCTCATGCACACCTTCTTTCTCACAAGCGGACACTTGGAAATTTTGGCGGATAAAAAATGCATCTGACGTGCGGACACTTCGGAATTTTTGCAAAAAAATAACTACTAACTCAAGAACTAGAAAGCTAAACTTTTAGGGGGATCCTCTCTGTTCACTGGGTCTCAGATGTTTTAAATGGAGTTTCTAGCTGTGCCTTGTTTTCACCTCAGACGCATGAAATGGCGAGGAATTGTCGGCAACCTTCCAAGCACTGACACCGATATCGAAGTGAAAACTGAAAGTTTAGGAGGATGTTTTATGTCTTATATGCGACTCTGAGAATCTGGCATTTATGAAAATTCGGCTCGAGCGAGTTGCAATGACTGAGGAGTACGGGAGGCTGGTAAGGTGCAGAGGTGGAGGTTCTAGGGGAATGAGTGTGTGAAATATTCGAATGATGCTGATGTTTTGCAGGTCGCAGCTGGAGGCAAATTCAGTGGTCGGTAGGCGTCCACAAACGATCTCAAGTTCTGTTGGTCGGCAGCGACCTCCTCCAATTTACGATCGAGTAGCGGCATGCTCCTACATCGATAGCGGTAATGGAAATTTTCCTGTCTGCTCGAAAATCGCGTAATTTTTTCCCCACTCTACGTTGAGAAGCTGTATCTGGCACACAAATTCTTTTTAAGTTTTCGGATTCTTTTTTCATCAGGCCTACGGTGCTGCTAGGCTTTGCGAAATTCAAATGAGTGCTGATTTGTTGCAAATTTGAAGATGTGCATGTGAATGCGTCAAACCGTCTGGTGCTGGCGTACGGGAAGCCGAGCACTTCCACCGGAGCATCGCCGGTCAGTCCTGTTGAAAGCGGTGGTCTGATGCCCTCGTCTTCTGCTCTAACGCAAAGTACTACAAGGCCGCAAGTCAGACGACCGGTGCGAGCATCCGCTGCCACCAGTGAGCAGATTCGGTTCGTTTTTCGTTTCTCTTTCCAAAGTTTTTTTTTTTTCAACGCCTTCCTACTGTATTTTACAACAAGTTTCTTTTTAATGTAGCCGGTCAAAATAAATGGGCATAATTACCAAGAATGTCGGTGCGGTTATAATCAAGATTGTACGACTGTGCTGCTTCTGGAAAGGTTCCGCATGTTGATTTCAACAACTGCGTCCCCCTTATCCATCCAGGCCTGCGTGAATGTCAAGTCAAAGTACCCAGAGAGACGAAAACATACATGGCGTGAGTCGGTGTAACAAGTGTTTTGCTGACTACTACACCACAAAAATGAAAGATGTTTCATTTCATTACATTCTATGTGTTGTATCATGTGTTATGCGAAAGAGCAGGGGCTAAAGCAGTGCATTAAAAAACCAGCCAGATGTGATACTTTTGCTGGTAGCAGTAAAGTGTAAATTGAAGAACGGGCTTTGGGGACTGCAAATTGTTTGGTTGTCCGGTGTCGGCTTGGGAATTTCGTCTTATATTTTCTTCCAGAAGTTCATTTTATATTTCCTTTGATGTGATTTTTGAAGGCTCTTTTCTAGTACATAAAGTGAATTAGAAGTAACAATAATTACAACCGCATCTTGAAAGAAGGAGAGAAAAATTGGCTGTCGGAATTTGACAACACAGAGGAAGATCGTCAATGGTTGTTTGAAGTAGGAAAAATTTATCGTAATTACAAATCTCAGGAATTCAAGAAGCAGAGAGCGACGTGGGCATAATGGAAAAGAAAGTTCGGATTCCCTGAATTCGGCAGCAAGTGGCTCGGATCCATCACCATCGCCAAACGAACGACTCTGGCATCACGGCACAGTCACTCAAGAGCAGCAGTCCACTCCACGAGGTTCGCTTATCGTATTTTCAATTATGGGGATGTGAATACCTCCTAGAATTACGGGATATTGTGGTATCGGCGGTTCTGCTTCCAGTATTTCCGAAAAATAATTGTGCTGAATTGAACTCGCTGTTAATCCCTCTCATTTTGTCCTGTATCGTAATTTCAGCAAAAATAAGCGCCTCTTACGCTCCAGCCTACAGTCCGTTCACATCCGAATCGTAAGTTTTGCTCTTCATATCGGTCTGTTATGTTTGCTTGAGTGAATGTAACAGGGCGATGCTCGGCTTTTTTTTTATCAAGTTTTTAAATCAGTCTTTGCTCACTGCAAAGCTTTCTTCTAACAAAAAAAAATTTTCGAGCTATTTTGAGTGTTCAAAATCTCCCGGATTTGGCTAGGCTGTCTGTAGCTGCGTTCTGTCAAAGAATAGCCCTGACTTAGAGGGAATCCCTGCTTTGTTTCTGTGCAGGTTGCACTGATGTGCCTGGCTCGGTGACGCGGCTCGGTCAGCGTCGGTTCATTCTGTACGCAGATTAATATCCTCTCCCAGCATGTATTGGCTATACTGTGTAAGCAGGTTAATACAGTAAAAGATCGGTCAAAACCCTTTCCATATTGACTTTCTGTGAGAGACGAAGGCACTCGGAAGTTTCCTGTGGGAGCAGCAGACGGTGTACTTTAGTGCTTTTTTAATTTTGCTCGTCGGTATGTGCGTGTGTGCATGCTAGTGTTACCCTTGCTCAGCAACATCCTTTGTTGTCCATAACAACGGTGCTGTTTGTTGCCGGATCGTTTTCTTCCGTGGATGCTTGTGGCACAGTCACGCTCAATTTCAGCACAGTAGTAGCAGCAGCAGCGGCGACGGCTGCTTCCAGTGCTGTCCCTCTCGGTGAGTGTCGTGGTGCTCGTCATCATAAGATATCATCACCTTTGCCTCCTTCGCACTATTATCAGCAGCGTCGAGCTCCGGCTGCATCGCATTCGTCCAAAGGCATCAGCAACTCGATAGGAGGGTCTGTTGCTACTGTAACCGCGGCCAGCACCGAAGCGCTTCTGAATGAGCTCAGGGTTTCGCCACTCTTCACTTATATTCATCCTTTGGGATCTCTGCAACCAAGGTATTCTATCGTACCCTTTCATTTTTTTTAACTCTTCTGAAATTTTGCACTATCCTGGAGTTCCCGAATTTGTGTCATCTTTATTTATGGAAAAGAAGAGGTTGTTTACGGATGTCTTGGGAGGAAAAAACTGCATGCATTTGTTTTTCACTTGCTTGAAGTCTTAAACAAATAACCCAAAATGTTGCTGTTTTTTTTCCAGTTGAAGTGCTCACTTTTCAAAGATGCACAGTTGCATGTCCTTCCATTCTAACAAGCTTTACCTCTCCCCATGCTTGTCGTATTCTCGGACAGGAGACTGTTGCTGTGGCAGTGTGTTTACTTCTCAAAATTCGTTAATGCAGCGATTTTTAGCCGACGAGTGAAAACGTTGTATGAATGCATAGCAGGTCATGACACTGAACTGTCTTTCCAACCTGGTCAAATTATAACCAATGGTAAGATTTTCTTTTCAGCTATATCTTGTAGACAGCAAAATTCGCTGGGATGCACGAGTGGGAAGTTATGGGCAGTGTAGATGGCTGAAGCGATTTCGCAACCGTAGACCTGGGCATTATGAGAGCTTTTCACCATAAATTCAGATTTGGCGAGTGCTACGGCGTGAACAGAGCGAGAGAGGGCAGGAAGATAATTCTTCATGACCAGAAAAATCTGCACTTGATTTTCACCTACCCGCATTTGGTGGCCAGTACCATAATGCGAAAAGGAAGCTACAGAAGACAGCGTGTGCAGTTGCGCGCCGCTTCTTCCTTCTTATCATCTGATGGCGCTGTCGTCAACCCTTGTCCTATATATCACATAACGACGCCATCTTTGAGTGCGTCAAAAAAGTATTTGGCAGCGCGTCATTTAAAATTGGAGGAGTTTCTGGCGATTTTTTGGCGAGTTTCAAGGCAGCTGCTTAAAGTCGATCTCCAGGACCGTAGTACAAGAACATCAACTGAATAGAAAAATCTCTTCAGTTTAGGGTAATCTAAAGAACACATGTTGGCGCTCTCCATTTATGTTCGCATCTTTTTGTAGTTTATGAATCGAAGGAAGAGGGATGGCTCGTTGGAACGTTAAATGGGAAAACTGGACTTATTCCGGCGAATTATGTAGAATCGCTTCCCTGATTATATCCAGGCAGCTGTCTAGGACTGTGATTTCCGAGCTTGGACATGCGTGTAACCCGAAAATCCACGTAGAGCCGATAACAACAGCCAGTGTGATAGTTCCGGCATGTCGTCGTGTAGAGCATTGCACTGTTTTGCTTTACATTTGTAATTTACAGCATTGTTTCGCTCCTAAATATTGTTTTTTGGAAAGTTTTGGCCCCTTGCCTTTTTGATTTTGGCTCAGTGTAGAGTACATCCTGAAGATTTGTCCGATTTGTCCCAGATGACTGAGTCGTTTTGGCAATTCTCGCTGCATCGCTGCAAATCTGTACACTGCCGATGCAGCTGACAGCTGCTTGTTCATAAAACTCTTTCGACCGAAATTATATCAGTTAGAATTAGTCCTACCAGTTCTACCATTCATTTTTCTGTCTTCTAAAAGCGGCCTATAAGCTTTCTTTTTTTCAGGAGTGGTTTTACATTCTTTCCGTTAATTATACGGTTTTTTAGTGCCCTAATAGCCGTTCTTTTCACGCTGCGCCATAGCGAGCATTGCTCACACGGACTGAGTGTGGGCGGAACTTACCATACAGGAGTTCCCAAGTGCGGCATAGCTTGGGATTCAGTGGTACTCGAATCCGGTCGAAATTGCGCAAGTGAGGTGGAGTATGTCAAGAAATACATCCCAGGGCTATTCCCTACCCAACCGGGCTAGGGCTGTCGGTGGCAGTGCTGTCTGTGTTTTTTGATTTTCTCTTGATTCGGATGCCAAATGGTTGTTCTTCACTTTGATACGTGACGTGTATTGTTGCTTTAATGTCTCAACATCGTTGTCGTCATCACACAGCATTGCGCTGTCTAGCGGTGTATGCGCCAATTACTAAAAACTGGGCTCAATTTTGGTTGATCTGCGAAATGTGGAAACCACTTTTGGTGATGGCGAACATTATCCCGAGCGATGGTTTGCGTGGATTTGGGTTGTGGAAGGACAGGCGGTATGATGCGGATTTCGACCGCAGAGGCTTGGGACAAAAGAGCGGTAGACACAGACAATTACTAAAACTGAAATCGGTTGTGCAGTGTGCACTTGTTTGTGGGTTTGGTGTTCTCTCATGCGTTGGGTAACGTAGATTTGGGGACAGGCCGGAGAAAGGGGCAGTGTGGTACGGGTTCGGGCTACAGAGAGTCGGGGCAAGGGAGGACTTGGGATAGGCGGCTACAAGAACTCAGGTCGGCCGTGCAGTATGCACTCATTGACGAGCTTAATGGCTGAGTCATGTATATTTGGCGAGTGGTGGGTGGAAAAAAATAGAGGCATGGTGCGGGTTTGGGCCGGGAAGACTTGAAATAAGCGAGGCGTTAGGAGGAAGGGTGGGTGAAGTTTTGTTTTGGAGGCAGTAATTAGAAGAAAGATAGATAAATGAACGAGGATACTGGTCAAGATCTTGAAGACACACAGTGGAGACAACAGTGAAGAGGAAGAGACGACACGGGAAGATAAATCAAACCAAACATAAACCTATGAATAAAAGCAAAAAAAGTAGAAAAGAAAAAAAATTTGAGTTTATGCTAGTGAAAATTGCCCTCTAAACATTCATCGTCGGCAGGGGGACTCCCTCTGTTTATGAAGTCCGTGCTTAGTGAAGCTGAGAATGAACAAGTTTGATTCGATTTTCGCGGAACTTCTACACAGCAATTCTAATTTATTGCCTTCGGCAGCAAACAAGGGCGCTGAATTTAAGCCTGTAAGTTTGTTTTTGCCAGTCAAGATTCAATTAATCGATGGGAAATAACAGTTGGTGACAAAGAATGCAACGCGAACAGTCACCATGCGACAATAAAAACTATTAAACTATTAAACCCTTAAACCCTTATTAAACCCTTAAAATATATTTATAATGTCTTATTAGGTTTTTTTGATATATTTCAAAGTCATTTTAGAATAAGAGGGGCTGGTGCATGCGTGTTTTC